AGTAGTAGTAGTAGTAGTAGTAGTAGTAGTAGTAGTAGTAGTAGTACTAGTAGTAGTAGTAGTAGTAGTAGTAGTAGTAGTAGTAGTAGTAGTAGTAGTAGTAGTAGTTGTAGTCGTAATAGTACGCACTAAACTCAGAGTACGAACCATGCAATATGGATCACGGAAAACGATGTATCTGAACAGTAGCAATCAGTCAAATGATTTGCAAAAGCTGTCTAATAAATTATTCGCATTTATTGATAAGTTGTTGTTGTTGTTGTTTGACCGGACAGAAAGCGCTGATCGTTTACCTTTCATTTGGAGGTTGGGGAGAGTGGACGGGTCACGGTGGAAATTGATTCGAACGAGAAATAGAATAATCGTATAACTTATCAGACACATTAATTTCGCTATTTGATAGTATAAAATATCGTGCATTTCCCATCCTTTGGGAAAAACGTTAGATATAAGTTGATTGGTCCGCACGGGTGATACGGACGCACACCGGTCAGCCGAGGTATCCTATTCCCATCGAGCAGTCTGATCCGACTGGAGCTGGTGTGTAGATCGATTGTATGTATTGCCCACGACAAACGGAACGCTCCAATCGGCAAGTGCGAGAGAAATTGGCTGACTGTGTGGTTTTTCCGGAGATATGACAGAACTGCATCAGTCTGTCCAATATACAAATTGAAATGGCAAATTTAGAGAAATTCTAACGCTCCAATTTGTCAGAAATGGAATTTACACTCAAGCTGGATAGAACGTGTTCTTGTCTACACTAATTCCGTTTCGTTTCTGGTGATTGAAGTGTAGTTGTGTGCATTTCGAATTTCGGCGGAACAACGCGAATTGGTGATTCCATCAAATTTCTAAGGTATGTATTTCTTTTCCTCCCACCTCTCACAATCTAGATTCGAGCAACCCAATCTCGGTATTTGATTTCACTTTACCACCCTCCCGACCACGTGATCCTCAAGGTACGCAGATCTTATCAAGGACTGCACCTGGTTCACGTGACTCTGAAGTTACATACCGATCGAGGCAAGCGGGCGGTAAACTGTTCCTCATCGGTTCCGGCGCACAACGACCAATGGAGTGAGTTTTTCAACATTGCATACAACCAAGGCTTCATTGTTTATTATTTTCTTGTCGTACTAAATTAGTTTCATTGTGTTTTATAACCCTGGGAACTCGATTTGATGTATCATGTGATGATATTGTCTGAAACGTTTCCAGTTAAGACTGGGATAGAAACCTTGAAGCCAGACTTGGAACACTCCTCTGATAACTTGGTGTGTAAAATGGAATTGACCGAGAGCAAAAATAAGTTGCCAACGCAGTATCCTTTCTTTATACGCATTCCTGTATTATCATATCGATACTTTAGTGTGAACGGACTATAAACCATGAATCCAATCAACGCAAGGTAATTGATATTTGAGATGAATTTCAGGTTTCTTGTTGAACTTGAAGATACTAAAATACCATTTTTGGAACTTTTCCATTCGAAATCGCTTACCATCAATCATATACTCAAATTCATACAAGATCAGTTCCCTTTAACAATTTCATGAGGGCAAGAAGAAGCTTCACGATCACAGCAGGATGTGTTGAATTCAACTATTTTGTGGTAATCTCATCAGCTGTGTACGTCATACATTCAGATCACGTTTAGTTAAAAGAGTGACCGGTTGGAGGAAAGATCAAAGGTCACTCATTTGAACCGGATTAAGCATGGGAGCAGGAAGCGTAATCACTGCAGGGGAAGGGAAGGACAGTGATACCTGATAGGGCAGCCCGATGCTGGCCACGCATTCGGTCTGTTTACAGAAATTGAGTTTGTCCCATCGAATGACAACTGCCTCAGCGAGCCGCAATAAAAGGCTATCCTTCTGGCGGATTGAGACAAGAAAAACGGTCCGAGATCTGTGTTACATTCTGTGCATCTGTTGATCACGGTGCCTCTTCTCGCCCTCATGACAAAAATATTCCCGATTATTAATGTTGGAAAAAATCCTAAATTGCAAACTGGTCCCACAGATTTCCCTGAGGGTGAAGAGGACGAAGTCAGTCAATGTATAGCATTAGATCCTCCATACAGTCAATAAATCACATCCGCCTAAATTACAACTAAGTAATTTATGAGGAGTGTTCCACCAGACCTGTACAGATCTTGATTCGCTTCACCAACGACCAAACAAGTTAATCTCATCAACCAATTTTTTCCATTGTATCACGAGCTAGGTAAAGTAGTCCCGCAGCACCTTCATTCTGGTGTTGCAGTACATAATCCGGATGTTTATTAGCTGGGAAATCCAGGTAAATATAAAATGGAGCGATTTGTGAGATTTGCTTTCCCATCGGGCGTCGGTTTGCTACAAATTCCGCATGGTGCAGTGTTCAAGGTCTGCACAATTCCCACTCGGTTGCGGTGTTGTTGTTGGTGGTGGTGGTGGTGCTGGTAGGGGGGGACCATTGGGAGAAACAGTCAATTTTGCAGTAGAATAGCTACTGG